GGAACATGCTGCACTGACTGGTATCTATAAACGTTGTTCAATAACGTCAGGAACGATAACTCATAACGTAACGTTCATCTCGGCTGATGCTGTTAGCACAAGAGAAACCTCTATCAATATCTGTTCTTCTGTAGCCCCGATTTTTTACTGGTGACCGAGAAGTTCTTGTAGTCGCCTTTTTGGAGTATCATTGGTGGATCAAATCCGTTTAATTCGGATGGCTTGGCTGTAGGGAATATTCTTGATGCAAATCCGTTTTATTCGGATGGCCTGGCTGTAGGGAATGCTCTTAATGCAAATCCGTTTTTTTTTTGGATGGCCTGGCTGTAGGGAATGCTCTTGATGCACATCCGTTTTATTCGGATGGCCTAGCTGTATGGAATGTTCTTGGTGCAAATCCGTTTTATTCGAATGGCTTGGCTGTAGGGAATGCACTTGGTTCAAATCTGTTTTATGCTGCTGGCCTGGTTGTAGGGAATGCTCTTGGTGCAAATCCGTTTTCTTCGGATGACCTGGCTGTAGGTATTGTTCTTTGTACAAATCCGTTTAATTCGGATGGCCTGGCTGTATGGAATGCTCTTGATACAAATCCGTTTTATTCGGATGGCCTGGCTGTAGGGAACGCACTTGGTTAAAATCAGTTTTGTGCGGCTGGCCTGGTTGTAGGGAATGCTCTTGATGCAAATCAGTTTTATGCGGCTGGCCTGGTTGTAGGGAATGCTCTTGATGCAAATCCGTTTTATTCGGATGGCCTGGCTGAAGGGAATGTTCTTGGTGCAAATCCGTTTTATTTGGATGGCCTGGCTATATGGAATGATCTTGATGCAAATCCGTTTTATTCGGATGGCCTGGCTGTAGGGAATGCTCTTGATGCAAATCCGTTTTATTCGGATGGCCTGGCTGTAGGGAATGCACTTAGTTCAAATCCGTTTTATGCGGCTGGCCTGGTTGTAGGGAATGCTCTTGATGCAAATCCGTGTTATTCGGATGGCTTGGCTGTAGGAAATGCTCTTGGTTCAAATCCGTTTTATGCGGCTGGCCTTGCTGAAGGGAATGCTCTTGTTGCAAAACCGTTTTATTCGGAATATATACATGCATTGTTGACTACGTGTTTACGATATTTGTTTCACTGGACGTTAAATAACATACAAACAAAAATGTTTACACACACCCTACTTTACAGTAATTGTTACTGATTTATAATAAAACTTCTCGGCTTCTTTATTATCCTTGAGGTCAAAATGTTAATGGTTCACTAGGCTGTTGTCAGATTATTTATACACGCTAGATACGAGCCTCTAATCAATCACAGGAATTTACACGCTAGATACGAGCCTCTAATCAATCACAGGAATTTACATGCTTAATACGAGCCTCTAATCAATCACAGGAATTTACACGCTAGATACGAGCCTCTAATCAATCACAGGAATTAAATTTTTTGTCGAGTAAATATTATTCCTTATCGTTTATTTTTTTTTTTTTGTAACAATAATTTATTTATTGTGTCTAATGTTAAGAAGAAAAGTTTATTTTCTAAATGTGAAAGTAAAGATATTTGTTGATAAGTATATCAAGTATATAATCGAGACATTATCCTCAACAAAGTGGTCTAAAGCTTTGATCAATATCTAAGTAATATAGAGAGGATATACAAACTTCATTGATAAATCTACTTGTGTATACTCGAAACATTTTCTTTAAATGGGTGTTACTTTAAATGTTTTATCTTCTCATAACGCAATTTATTGACCTCCAGACTGCAGATACGAAATACTGTTGTTGTGATAACAAGCGTAATCCTTTAACAATATGCGTTTCCAATAGAGCACCCATTATGGACAATAACTAGTACAATTCTCAGATATAAACATATACAAATAACAAAGTATTTTAATAAACAAATTATCCAATCTGAAATAAACCATCAGTTGTTTATATAACATATTCCATAATATTTTGTGTGTGCTGGCCATGTACCAGTGGCAGCGAAATATATGTTACGAAAATTAAACAAATGAAGTTGATATATGGTATTTGAGTTTTTGTCCTATTCAGAATATTAAGGTGATCAAGTTCATGGAATGCTCAGTGGACATTTCACAATAAGCACAAATATTTGAATTCCCTAAAACCAAATTAGTATTTAGGTAATGCAAATAAACAAAATTATAGTAAGCCTGATGCATGAGACAACTAAGGAGCGTGCTAAAGCGACATTTTAAATACAAATAAAATACCAAGCATTTTCACAGCATGTAGCTGATTTCAAATGTACCAATATGGCAGCTAGTCATCAAGATGCAAGAGTCACCAAGGATAGCGTCTCAAATGACATTCATATGTGCGATTGTTACAACTCTGTGCAAGATACTGCGGCAGACTCAAGTACAACATGTTCACATACTTCAGCAATAAAGCATCGAACATACTGTGATTAATTACGGAAATAGAATTCTGGAGAAAATGCAAGTCATCTTAAATTTAACAACTAGAGCATTGGAGCATCTCTATCGTACCGAAAATAACATGATATAAACATTTTCTATCTAAAGAGAGTGTGTTCACAGATTTACTTTTTAAGTTAATGATGTGCTTGTTCACTGGCTTTTCAGAATTACTTATGTCTTCACTTTACAGTGGATCACCATCAAGGTTTCTTTGCACCAGATAATAACTTGCAGAAAGTCGTTATCTAGCAGTGAAATTATTAACCAAACTTTTTCTGGGTATTTTTTATCAGTTGTAACACTTAGCCATAGCTTTCACAATATACTGCATAAAGCAGTTATATGCGTTGCTTCCGAATGAACACTAAGAATATATTTACAGGATTTTAAATACAACTGTCATGAATTTTGATTAAAAATCAACCTGTGGTGTGTCATTCTTAAGTTTAAAACATGCTCACACCACACAACCATATAAGATAATAGTTACTTGTATGATACTTCATACTTATTTAACTGAATGGTTCAGTGAAATTAAGGGTACCAAACACTTTTGAATTAAATAGATTTGGCTCGTTTACTTTTCATAAAATTTGACAAAATTTTCACTTTGACTTGTTGGCAAAAATTAAAAAAATTCAAGAAATTTGAACCACACAATTAACAGGAATAATTTCATTAGTTATATAGCAGTTTGACAAACGCTACTTTTGATCATTGAGAAGCTTCATTTCTCTTTTTTAATAGTATGTAATTAAAACGTTAAGCTGGTTTTTAAAGAGTTAACGCACTTAACTGTTCTGTAAACCCGCCCCCTTAAATCTTTTGCTAATTTGAGATTGGCTTTGAAGGCAATGTACTTCTTTATCTACAATACGAACAATATTTTCCTCTCTTCATAAAATGTAATTCAAACTTAAAGTTAATACTAACTTCATCGAAACGAAAGCTGCTTGTTATAGTACTTTTGTTATTTGAGTTTTAGATTTGACTATGATTCATGAAGCATATCTTTACCCTATAGCATGCGAAGCGTAACAGTTTAGAAGAAGCTTACAAAATGACATCTCATAATTATATGCATTTGATACGGTGCATTCAAGTTTAATGATTTCAACTCTGACTCATAAAAATATTTAGAGCAGATATTTTAAATATTGAACACCTTAAAAACTTGTTCATCGATTTATACAGGTACAAATTCAATTTTAGAGGAATTTGAAGGAACTATATGAAAATGTTTTACATCTATAATTTTTTTATTTACTTTCAATTCATATTTAATTTTTACCAGATTTCAACGTATAAAATTAATCATATTTAAATTACACGCAAACATATCTTACGACTTCTATGATAAGTGTCTGTCAATTAGTAGACGTAAATTAATGTACAAAGTACAACTAGCTTCATCTGTACCCATGTCCCAGCGGGAAAACAGACTTAACAGCTTGGACAAAAACAATAACAAAAAAAAAACTATCAATAAGAAAACAAGGAGATGTGGTATGATTGTCAATGAGATAGCTATCCAACCGATACCAAGAAGACGAGAATGTAAACAATTAATAGATCGTAGTACGCTCTTTAACAATGGGCAAAACACATATCCATAAAAATTCACATAAAGCTACAAAGAAAACTAAAGATTGAGCAATACGAGCCACATTTAAAACCTTTATAGCTTGCTGTTCGGTGTGAGCCAAGGCTACGTGTTGAAGACCGTACTTTGACCTATAATGGTTTACTTTTATAAATTTTGACTTGGATGGAGAGTTGTCTCATTGGCACTCATACCACATCTGCTTATATCTATGAACTCATGCAGGTACTCCAGGAGGGTTTCAAGTTCTGCTCCACAAGGGAAACTCGTCGTTTTTTTTGTGTTGCAAGTAAAAATTCAGTTATAAATCGCATTTCCATGATGTCGCAATCGGTAGAAAGCAAACTTGATTGTGGCTGCGACAAGTGGAACATATCAGTGGTCATCTGTGACAAAGATATTCCACAAAGGTCTATCAAATCATGATGGCTTCTGTAAAATGTTCGAAGGGATGACTTCAGCTTCGTCATTTGGAACACTTGGTTCAATAGCTTCAGCAACCCTTTATCAAAGAAATTGGTTTAGGAAACGAAAGTCCTGGGATATCGCATCAACTGGGAGATATACAGGTTGACACAGAGAAATGGAAAGGTCACGTGGGGAAAGTTGAATTCGTCTTTAAGTTCTGTAAAGACAACAAAAATGTTCTTCTACATGCTATGTCTTCCTGTACGTTATAAATAACTTTGTATGTTTAACCGTCCAATATATATATATGTTTCTCCCGAATTCTCGTATTCCGATAGTATCCTATAGTTCTTATCTGAAAATTGCTGCCACCCATGATAAGATCATATAAGTATGAAAAGCTTTCCTTAACAACTTTTCTTTTGTAATTGTACATGTTGTACAAAAAGGTGTGTTATATAGTATTCTAATTATTTATACAAATATTTTTTCCATCCGGAAAATCTTTAAACCTATTTATAACTGATATGTATACGGTGTGGGCGAAATTTTACCTGTCACAGGTATGACACATAAATAGGTCGCACATATTTCAAACGGTAAACATGTAAAGAATTTTACATGGCTGATTGAAAAACTTTTTATTGAACACCGATTGACAGGAATATTTTCAGAAGAAATAAACGTTTGTGTTAATTGTACGTTCAGGTAAGTGAATTTATCTTGACATCGATCAAACTAAATCAATTACGACTATAAAATCTGAATGTGTAGTTGTCGCTCTTTGTGTCGACATCCAAATCTATAATAGGAAATATTAACAAACAGAAAATGAAAATCCTGACATATACAACCAGAGTGCTTTATTTGACTCGTTTCTTTTAGTTTAAGCATTACGTATCACCGCATTGTAAACAGGTGAAAATAAATACATGTAGTTATTGTAAGCTACCTTTGTAAATTATTTGTTGCGCCACAGGCAACCGATTTATCAGTCTGATTTGACACTAAATAAATATGTTTTCATATAATCTTAAATACTTTGAATTTATAAACATCATATACTAAACGGTGTATTACACTATTTATGACTGAACAAAAAAAATCTTAACCGGATAATTTATTTTCATTTAGGTCTCTGCTTTTATATCCTATGAACTTCGTACTACTAAACGTACTCTTGACAATTTTTGCATGAAATTTAGCAATTATTAAAAAGTTCCACTTTCGGTTTCTATATATTAAATAAATGTATGTATTTTTCAAGCTATCCTATACAGCGAGATGTATATTTCCTATGCTGCCATTCAATTTTCACTTACCGTACTATTTATTCATTAGAATACAAGTAAGAGAATTTATCTAAGATTATCCCGAACATTGAGCAGAGCCTGGTGCTATCATATGGTAAACTTAAAACTTCATATACACTACAAACAAAGTTATTCTGTTAAATTATCAATGTAATTCCAAATTTTTTTTAATAATTTAACTTTTTATGAAAGAGGGCAATTGTTGATTATTCTTTAATACGATACTAAGCTTTACATCTCATCATTTAAACGATGCAAATATATTTGTAATAAACAAGATTACAAATATATACTATGTATATATTGTGTGTACCTTATTATTACCTTTGTGTATTGAGTGTCGATCTATAGTTTGACACAACCACCCGTCAAATGAGGAATAGTTCCTTGAATGAGCATATTTCCCTCAACCACCCGTTTGATAAGAATATGAATAAATATGTATTATTATAATTAACTTGATGGGCAACATGACATTCGTATCAACAAACACAAGACGTTTTTTATAACACAATTGCACATTGAAATAGAATATTAATCGTTCATATATACTTGTACTTATATATGTATATACCTACATATATGATTTTACCCATATTAATCACATACATTTATTCAAGACAGGACCAAAATAATAAACCAGTTACAATAATCATTATTACAGTTCTAATTCACATTTCGTTTAACATCTAGACATATTATAAATATTATTTTGAATCAACCCTTATACTTGATAACTCATCCTAAGAGATTGATTGATTGATTGGTTGGTGTTAAAGGCCACTTTCAGCACTATAGTGCTATTTCGTGACGTCAGTTTTTATTGGTGGAGGAAACCGGAGTGCCAGGTGAGAGAACCAACGACCATCGTTAGGAAAACTGATAATCCTAGTCAATAAAGATCGGAGTCGAGCGCACCTACCACGTATGGGATTCGAACTCACAACCTCAGTGTTGACAGGCTAGTGATAAAGTAGTTCGATTACCTAGACCGAGGCCCCTCGTCCTAAAAGATACCAGGCTTATAATTTAGTATACCAGACGTGCGTTTCAGCTACATATATAAGAATCTTAAGTGGCGCTCGGAATCAAAACAGTTTGAAAGTCAAATAGAATAAGTTGAAGAACATTTAATTACGTGAAAGGCAATCTAAAATAGCACATAGTATTAACTTTATCAACAGATGAGAAGTATTAAACTCATATAACAAGCCTATAAACTGAAAAGGAAAATGATTTTTTTTGGGAAAAAATATTTCGACATCTTGTCTGAGTGTACCATTTTTAATTAGTTCACCCCTGATTTTGGGTGGATTTAGATATGTTTATGTGTAGTGTTTTGTGAACTTATTTGTCTATTGTTCATGGTGTAGTTTGTTTATCTGAGACTTGTAGTTTTTATAAGAATCATCTTTCCTTTTTTCAGATAAAAAAAATACTCGATGAAAAGTCTTTAATTTTTTACACTTCGAAAATATTAGATGTACCCAACCTCATACATGAAACACACATTTTTTTTGGGGGGAGGGGGGGGTGTTATTTTTTCAGTATGTAGGGTTTCAGTCGTTGCACTACTGATTTTTTTCCATTTATTTCCGACATTGCTATATGGAAAGAGTACAGTTGCTAATACTGTAGTATAAAGAGAACATTATTTCGTATTGACCAATAAAAAGCAATTTACGTTTGCTTTCTACAACTCCCTACATTCATCGACAAGGTTGGTAGAGATAGTTATAGTTGATTTAATGTAGATATACTTTGATCTTTAGTGGCCCGTAGAAAAAAAAAATCTGATTCTTTTCAGTGACAGTCCAAATTTACTTATCTTCATTCTGGACGAACTATTTTGCTGATTATTGTTAAACTTCTTTGAAATATTATTAATACAGTCACTGAACATTCAAAGAAAACCACATTCAATCATTTAAATCTTTGAAATTTCGATGCTTTTTAATGAATTAATTTCTAGAATGCATTTTTAAAGCATCAATCGGGTTTTTTGCTTATGCAGAAAATTACACCTCCGCGTATTTTATGTGCCTGTCCAGACTTTTGTTGTCATTTGTGTTTATTTAGAAATGGCTAAACGGTTGTTAATTCATTAACTGTTTTGCCGACTAGCGCCAATTCCTTATTGTGGTAAAGTTGGAAGAAGGTATGGTAACATCTAAATGTCTATATAAATCGTACCGTAACACCTAAGACGATGTCAATATTAAAAGAATTGTGTTGGTGTGTCCCTGTTTCATGGGTATTTTGTATGTGTATGTCTTCGAATTAAACGTAATGTTTTCCCTGTGTAGTTTACATAACGTTCCGCTAAAGATGATGTCCTCTCATTAAATAATCAAAAATTTTATTGAACTAAAGGCTACCACAAGCACAGTAAAGCCTGCCTTATGATTTTTGCCTTGATTTGTCGACTTATGTTTTTTGACTTGATTTGTCTGTCTCTCTTCGACTTATGTTTTTGACTTGATTTGTCGGTCTCTCTTCGACTTATGTTTTTTGACTTGATTTGTCGGTCTCTCTTCGACTTATGATTTTTGCCTTGATTTGTTGGTCTCTCTTCGACTTATGATTTTTGCCTTGATTTGTCTGTCTCTCTTCGACTTATGATTTTTGCCTTGATTTGTCTGTCTCTCTTCGACTTATGAGTTTTGCCTTGATTTGTCTGTCTCTCTTCGACTTATGATTTTTGCCTTGATTTGTCTGTCTCTCTTCGACTTATGATTTTTGCCTTGATTTGTCGGTCTCTCTTCGACTTATGATTTTTGATTCCCCTTTTGATATCTGCCACCTATGTTTTAGCGAATACATATTGTTGGCATGTTGCCAAATATCAACGTTCAAATAAATTGTGTGTGTGTGTGTGGGGGGGGGGGGGGGATTGAATCAGTTTAAAGATTTGCTGCAAGTCCCAGTTCTAATACAGCCAAACATATACCATACTTTCTTAGTTTTTTTTCTGTTTGCTCCAATAATAAAATATTAACAATAATTGGAATTTGGTAGTACATCTGCAGACAAAATTTGTATCACGATTAATTCGACCTGACACTGACTTTTTATACGTTGACCTTAAGCTTATTTCCCTTTAAACCTTTCTATATTGTGATATATAATACATCATCAAAAGTTGTACGTGTGAATATTTATTTATTTATTATGGGGAAAGACTGTTGTTAAAACCTTAGACTAATATATAATAGATTGGTACCATTTTGAGGGAAACCTGTGAATATCTACATTGTAGTTAAAACTGTAGATTATCTAGAATAATTTTTAAAAAAATGATCGGAAATTGCAATCAAACACATATCAGTTTGAATTAGAATAAAAGGAAATGGGTGTGTCAATGTGAAAACACCAGGACACCGCCACAAAAAAATATAAATAAAGATAAATTGACCTACTAACACAATTTGGACGCACTTGAACTTATTAACTGCGAATATCTATATACTAACAGAAATTATAAGACTAAAAAAAGTGACTGAACTTAGATTGACTACAAAGCATTTCTTTTCCAAGTTTTCAGGTGGCACTATTGGCTGTCTCTCCAGCTTTAGGATTTCAATATATTATAGTTTAATCTTAATTGAAAATTACGCTGTGTCAAGTTGTATTCCAGTCCTTAAAAATATACATAGCATAAAGTGTGTGAATATAGAATACAGTTTTTGTCTCGCCTGAGACGAAAGTCGCAGTATGCGAGACATAGGTATAACTATCCGGCGGCGGCGGCGTAAACTATGTAAAAAGCTTTATATTTCAGAAGGTAGAAGACCTGGATGCTTCATATCTTGTATGCAGATACCTTATGTTACGAAGTTTCAGTCTGTCATATGTCCAATGTCCTTGTCCTCATTTTCATGGTTCAACGACTGCTTGAAAAAAAAAATTTTGTCATGTGAATTTCTCACTTATTATGAGTAATAGGATAACCATATTTGGTAAATGGGTTCCTTGCAACGTCTATATGTCCGTCAGACAGAGTTCACCTGACCTCGACCTCATTTCATGGATCAGTGATCAAGGTTAAAGTTACGTGATTAGGTCCGTTTCTCATATACTATAATCAGCAGGTCAACTATATGTGGTGTATGGAATGGTTGTAATGGGTACATGTCTGTCTGTCAGGTTTTATCTGACCTTGACCTAATTTTCATGGTTCATTGGTCAATGTTAAGTTTTTGTGTTTTGGTCTGTTTTTCGAGTACTATAGGCAACAGGTCAGCTATATTTGGTGTATGGAATGATTGTAAGGTGTACATGTCTGTGTGGCAGTTATCATCTGACCTTGACCTCATTTTAATGGTTCATTGGTCAATGTTAAGTTATTGTGTTGTTTTTTTTCAAGTACTCTAAGCAATAGGACAACTATATTTGGTGTATGGAATGACTGTAATGGGTACATGTCAGTCTGGCAGGTTTCATCTGACATTGACCTCATTTTCATGGTTCATTGGTCAATGTTAAATTTTTGTGGTTTGGTCTGTTTTTCAAGTACTATAAGCAATAGGTCAAGTATATTTGGTGTATGGAAGGATTGTAAGGTATATATGTCTATCTGGCAGGTATCATCCGACCTTGACCTCATTTTCATGGTTCATAGGTCAATGTTAAGTTTTTTTGTGTTTTGGTCTGTTTTTTTCAATTATCATAAGCAATAGATCAAGTATATTTTGTGTATAAAAAAATTGTAAGGTGTATATGTCTGTTTTACAGCATTATCTGACCGGAGTTTCTGTGATTCTTTTAGTTGAACCTTTATCTTTAAAACTTTCAACATAAAATCAATGGTCAGTAAAGCAGGCGAGACATTTCAGCGTGTGCACTCTTGTTTAATGAAGTTTCGTTTTTTTTTAGTTTTCATGTCAAATACAAGATGTTGAATAATACATTTGATCTATCTACATTTTATATAGATATTCCTTCATAAAGGATTGCCAGAATAAGTAAATAAATAGGTCGTAAATATATTTAATAATAAAATGTGTTCAAACAAACCACAATAAAATATATCCAATAAAGGTATAAATGCTACATACCTGTATTAACTAGGCATTCCATACAGTAAATTCTGTGTAAAAGACAATTGTGAAAATCACTGATTAATGTTAATATTAAACGTATAACTAAACGGAAGTAAAATACGTGAATTCCACAGATGTTATACATTTTTTTCTCATTACTGAATTGTAAAATAACGAAGAACAGCCACCTATTTCATTTTTATGAAATTTATTAAAAGTAATTTATTAAAATTAAAGTTAACAGTTAATATGAATCTGGAATATGCACACAGACTATTGCCATTGGATGTTAAGCAAACTACAATCAATCAATATTACGATAAAGAACATGGTCTTTGTCAAACTAATGTTGAAGATGAAATCCTCTTTTATTGAGTAAACGATTTTGATACGTGATTGAGATGAAATGAACATCTTATAAATATACTTAAAAAAAGGTCTGAATACTGAATGCATTTCCTGTACAATATTTGAATAAATTATATTTGATTTTAAAATTATGTATTTTGCTAGCACTAATGAAGATGGCGTTTTGTTTCCTACTGGTCATTATAAATTTGCGGTCATTATTAAATGTGCGTTATCATTCATTATAAACACAAAATGAGCGTTTTCATTTATTATAATCACAAAATAGTATTTTACGGTATCGAATGACGATAAGCATACACGGATATGACTTGGATATGATTCACTTTAGGGGTGATGTGGGCTGTATAAATATCTACACTCTTCCCCCTACCTGTAACGTTTTTCTTGTTCACTATATAAATATTTAACCTGCAGCTGAATTGAAGACAATATATGAATTATCGGATTGTATTAATTAAACAATATGCTGGGAGTATTAATGTCAGACTTCGTTGATTTATTTGTAAGGTTCCCTGCAGCTGCTAAATAATAAAACATATTAATCGCACCAAGTAAACGTTTTAAATACAAGTTGTCAATAGTATTACATGTGTGTGTGTGTGTTTGGGCTTCAGATATGTAAAACTAAAGACGTAAGATGGAATCAGAGCCAGTGGCCTTGATTTTAGCCTCCCAGGAGGATGTTTTATCTCACGGACATGTATTATATGGACTAGTCAAAGCGGGCAAGGATGAAAACTGCGTGGAATCAACATCACGGATGGTTAACGTTGTTCCAAGAAAGAGGTAACTGAATGAACCAAAAGAGAATAGAATCGGATATCTATAACTAACAATCTTTTTAATTCAGAATTTATATACCATTATACCTAAACCAAATGAGAAAACAATAAAATATATAACTACATTGTACAGCTCTATATATGTGCGTCCTAACTTTTACTAAAACATCAGGTTAAACTTCGTCTAACATATATCGCTAACTGCAAAAATCTTATAACCCTGTAAACAGGAAATAATTGTACCTATTGGGAACTTCTTTTATTGATATAAGTGATTATTACCTTTCTCTCCATCTATCATAAATAAAGAATCTATGATGTGTTCACGTCTCATATTTTAGTCATAAACATGTCCACCAGTCTTTGGTGTGTTACAAAATACCTCCAAAAAGACCAATGTAACGAATCACCCGACCAGTGGCGCTCTTCAAAAATTACCAAGTCTGAAAACAACGTATTACATGCAGGGCTAGTTCTACTCCCAAACAAATAAAAATAAACTAACACCAGGACAATAGTACCCTCACAAAAAGACGAAATAACGAGAGCGTTACAAATAGTAAAAACAAAAATATCTGAAGTTGGAAAAAAAAAAGTAAAAACAAAATTAAGGAGAGGTGGTATGACAGCCAACGAGACAACTATCCACCAGAGACCAAATGACGAGGTGGCACAACTCTATATCTCTCACAAAACGGAAAAAGCAACAAATCACAAGACTTGGAAAATATGCATGTTTTCAAAAATCACTAAACAATTCAAACTTTTTTGAAAACGAGATTTACAGTAATCGAAATGACTTTTTCACTCAAATTTATTTTATGGTTAAATAAACTAAGATTGGAGTCATTTATTTTTTCTTTCTACATATATTCATAATGTAACGCAAACATTTATGTAGATTTATACATTTCAGGAGTTCTATCGATCTTGATGGACATTTATGCATTTGTTTTGAACATACAGAACTGTCTCTACAGACAGCAAAGCATAATTAATTATATTTTTAATAACATTAATCAGTGATGTTCACAATTGTCTTTTACACAGAATTTACTGTATGGATAGCGTAGATGAGCTGATTGAATTCCGAAAAGAATTGTTAAAACGTCCGTTGGTACTGCAGCCAATTATACAGGCAGGAAGTGGTATACAACGTCTAGATTGCTTTTTCTGTGTGAAGAAAGGTAAATATTGTACGATGTTGAACTTTGAAAAAGGTATTAGAGAAACAAAATAGTCACTGGTGCCCTTTACAGTAGGGTATATAAAACTGATTCATTCCTTACTTTGGGAGCGATCATAATGAAGGTTAATTTAGAAAAAAGAAACGCATCAACAACATCAAATGAGTATGCTAAAATTAAAAACCCTTCTTAAAAACTGTGAATTGCATTTCATAATGGTAGCAGTTAATATGTTTGTTGATATCTTGTTCTGTTACACTGTTTAATATACTTTTTATATTCCCGAGGTTAATTGCGGTGTAGAAATATGGTCATCCCTTAATTTCTTAGTACAACGCATTCTTTAAAGATCTTTTCGTTTGGATGTATGGGATGTATAAATACACAGCCACAACCGGTAGAAATTGGAACGATTGAACCGATGCCTCCTGTATGGAGAGTGACACGCTCTCTTAACGATACAGAGCCCTTGCAACAACTATTTGAGGGGACCACAAATGTCTTATATCGAACATATCCTTATTTTCCAGAGGCGGTCGAAATTTGTGTTGTTTACCCCGGTCGACCCACTCGGGAACCTACCTGATTGTTCTCGTCGTGAATATGCATGTAATAGTTGTCACTGAATGTCAAGCAGACAATTAATCAATGGGGGTTTAAAAAAAAATCATCCAAAATTCCAGGCTTATAATTTGGTATACCAAATTCGCGTTTTGTCAACAGAAGACATTAACTTTTGTTTGATTTTTATAGAACCATGGGTACTTATGGTAAATCAATTTCATCAGAAGATAATGGAAAAGATCAGTTTGGGTATGGACATGGCGGCTAAAAGTATGTTCAGAGGAGAACCTGTTGTCTTGGAGGTGATATATTTTTCAAGAATATATTTTTAAGTATGCTAACAGGAGTACCTTTGACTTTAATATTTTAGTGACGTACATTTTTATTTTGGATCATATGCAAATTTAATAATGAATAAAGTAGCTGTATAGAAAAATGACTGTGTGTACTAAGATGTCTTTTAATAGTAGTTTTTTTTACCGGCAGCTTTCTACATAGTTCATCTCGTTATTTACCATGATCAAGATGTGATACACAGTAGACATCTAAATACCTTTCCACATTGTAGACTATCATAAAATTCTACTATTTGTATGAAGTTAAACGTTTTCACTGTATATTGTGAACTTTTGCATCTCTTGTTTTCACTGTATAATGTGAACTATTGCATCTCTTTCAGTTTGCGTTTGGTGATATTTTGAAGAAACATTATTATGGAAACATATCGAAGTATATGTCATCAAAGTTTGCCTACACAGACTGTGAATATGGTGATATAATAATCAGATCGTCTCCTAACAGATCGTTTGGAAATAAAGTAATCTTATTTTAATGCTATATAAAGATATCTGATTTACTGTGTACAAATAGTTTGGCATCATTCTGTTTAATAACCATGACTCCCTTTCTTGAATTACATAGATGATTAACATATTGAATTCTGGAAAGCAAATGCTCGTGATAATTTTATAGAATGAATATGGTACTAGTATTCTAATATAGTGATGCTTGTGTCCTATTTAACTTGATGCATTGCTGTGTTTCTTATGTATAAATATTGACACCGACACTTCTGTAACCTTTTTATTTATGATACAGGTGGCACAGTTTAAATTCAGTTTTGAGGATGTAACTGCTAGTGAAATTAAAGTAAGAACAATTGAAGAGGCAGCTAAAGAAAAGAGATCACCAGTGTTAGAGTTTATACCTCAAAGTTAGTATGATAAAAATGATCACATTAATGACAAATAAATAGTTGTTAAATAAAGACTGTTGGTTTTCCTGTTTGAATTGTTTTACACTAGTCTTTTTGTGGCCCTTTATAGCTTGCTGTTCGGTGTGAGCCAAGGCTCCGTGTTGAAGGCCGTACTTTGACCTATAATTGTTAACTTTTTACACATTGTGACTTGGATGGATAGTTGTCTCATTGGCACTCATACCACATCTTCTTATTTATATATAGTACAGAAAATGTTTAAATGATGTTGCTGTGTGGTGAAACATTGTATGTTTCTAAAAAATAAGGAGATGTAGTATTATTACCAATAAGACTGCTATCCTTCCCAGACCAAATGAAAGGGATGTAAACATCTATAGCTTACCGTGAAGTACAATTTTTGCTATCCATACTGTTACTGCTCAATTGATTAGGCGTGACAGAAAAGACCACCTTAATAAAAAATAAGTTCTTTTTTTCTACAAATATTCAAAAGAGTTAACTCATCCCAGTCAGATATGGGAACATAATTCCAATTCAATATTTGATTTAATGTATAGTTAGTAGATTCCATAGATCACAAGCAGGATGTCCTGTGATGTTGTATTCCCCCAACAGATTAGGTTTTAAACCAATAATTAAGTTAATCGTGCGATGGCCGCAACGACGATGTAGTCTTGTTTGTTTAAAGCTTTATATTTCAGAAGGATGAAGACTTTATACCCTGTAAACAGATGCCTCATGTTACGAAGTTTCCGTCTGTTATATGTCCATTGCTCTTGACCTCATTTTCATGGTTCAGTGACTGCTGACAAACAGCATATTTTTTTTCCCTGTTAATTGCTCACTTCTTATGAGTAAAATGATAACAATTTTTGGTATAAGGGACCCTTGACAGCGTTTACCTGACCTACGCCACATTTAATGGATTGGTAAACAAGGTGTAATTTTTGTGATTAGGTCAGTTTTTTAGATACTGAAACAAAAGGTCAACTGTATTTCTTGTAAGAAACGATTGTAAGGTGTACATATATAAAAATAAGGAGATGTGGTATGATTGCCAATGAGACAACTATCCACCAAAGTTCAAATGAAGTGGGTGTAAGCAATTATAGGCAACCGTACGGTCTTCGACAATGAGAACAGCCCATACCGTATGGTCGGCTATAAAAGGCGCCGACATGACAAATATGAAACAATTCAATTGAGAAAACTAACGGCCTAATTTATAACAAAACAATTTACGAAAAACAAATATGACAGACATGAACCAACGACAACCACTGAACTACAGGCTCCTGACTTGGGACAGGCACATAAAGAATGTGGCGGGTTAAACATGATTGTGAGCGCTCAACCCTCCCCTAACCTTGGGCAGTGGTGTAACAGTACAACATAAGAACAAACTATAAAAATCAGTTGTCGTCCTGAATATGCATGAAATATTTGCCACTGGACGTTAAGCAACCAACAATCAATCAATCAGTTGAAAAAGGCTCAACTCAACAGATGAATACAAATAGAAATACATCCAACAAAAACACAGAGTGGACGTGGACGGGTAATTATACATCCCCACAACAAAAAGACATTAAGTATAGATCTGAGAGTACTCCGTCCGTCTGACAGGTTTCATCTCACCTTGACCTGATTTTCATGGTTCAGATGTAAATTGTTCGTGATTCAGTTCATTTCTCAGATACTATAAGCAGTAGGTTGACTATATTTGACAGCCCAGTCTGTCCGGTTTAGGAACAGTCTACAATTGGTTAAGGCAAACAACAGTTTTTTTTTAATATTTAATAATAGAATCGTTTTGGTAAATGACAAAAAGACGATTCTCACAGGTACTTATTGACTGGTTTGACCTTCCATTTTTATTATTCCTTTTCGTCACTTTTATTTCATCTTCATAGTTAACTTTCAATTACAATCAATGTTTCAGTAGAAGGTAGTGGGTGTTTACATATGACCCTTTGGGATAAAACGAAAACACAAAGTGAACGTGGACGGGTACTTATACATCCCCACAACAAAAAGACATTAAGTACAGATCTGAGAGTACTCCGTCCGTCTGACAGGTTTCATCTCACCTTGACCTGATTTTCATGGTTCAGATGTAAATTGTTCGTGATTCAGTTCATTTCTCAGATACTATAAGCAGTAGGTCGACTATATTTGGTGTATGGAATTATTGTTAGAAATACTTGTCTTATCTAACCTTGGCTTCATTTTATTGGTTTATAGGTCAATGTTCAGTTTTCTTGATCAGGTCATCAGATACTTTATACAATAGGTTAACTATAATGGTGTATGGAATGATTGTAAGACGTACATGTCCGTCTGACAGGTTTAATTTTATCTTGACCTAATTGTCATGATTCATTGGTCAAGGTAAAGTTCCTGTTCCCAGGTATTATAAGCAATAGATCCACTAATATTGGTGCATGGAATGGTTGTAAGATTTACCGTTTTGCAGGGTTCACATGGCCTTGACCATGTTTTAATGGATCTTGATAATGTTCAGTTTATGTGATATCTGTAGTAAAACTAAGACATTTCAGCGTGTGCACTCTTGTTATTGAACTTTCCTTTTCTTAGTCCACTGATGGAGATTAAACAGGGATGGTTAAGAAATAAAAAAGGAGCTAAAACCCGTCAGTTCAACTTGTCGTTTGTCATGTCATAATGTTTTTTTGTGTCATATTGCAGCAATTTGATATATATGGCTATTTTGTGTCATTCATCTAGTTTCACTTTCACTTTGCTATCCTAACACCATCCTAAAGTTTTCAGAATGCACATATTATTCTTGGTTAAGGATGTCTTATTACCATCTTTTGTTTAAATAAGTATGCTTTCTTTGCTGTTTCTATTCTATACACAGTGTCTTCAGTAGAAAGTTACATACTTTTATGCTTGTACATTTCATAGTTAAATCAAAGATTTTCATACTTTAAATATCCTTGGTTAGATAAGTCAGGATATTCTCTCTTGTTTCTGAGTTACCATACTTTTCTCTCTTGTTTCAGAGTTACCAAACTTTTCACTCTTGTTTCTGAGTTACCATACTTTTCATTCTTGTTTCTGAGTTACCATACTTTTCTCTCTTGTTTCAGAGTTACCAAACTTTTCATTCTTGTTTCTGAGTTACCATACTTTTCATTCTTGTTTCTGAGTTACCATACTTTTCTCTCTTGTTTCAGAGTTACCATACTTTTCTCTATAAACTAGTAATCACTACAGTTATGAGTACTAGTAGTTTTCTCAATACTATTGACAAAAAACAAGCTTTTCTATGAATATACAGATCGATGGATAAAACATGCATTGGACACTCTTTATTTCAGTCTGCTGAAATTTAGGACTTGACATACGGAATTGATATTTGCCTATCATTGATTACCGTATATTCATCTCTCGATGTCTTTTTGGTTTTACTGTAATTGCGGATTGCTGTATCAATGGTGTTTACATAACAACATCCTTTATTGATATTCATCCATCTTTTTCAGGTCAGTTGACAGATATTTTACCAAACTGGGTGTTCGATGAAGTTGAAGTAGAAGAATCAATTGTTTCAACATCGGATTACCATTCAGATTCAAATAATGGCGCAACTGGTGGTATGGTTGTGACGTCACAACCGCGTGAGTATACACACTCTCGGCCAAAATCAGATAGCAGTAAACATTATGTGTCAGTTGACCTTCACGTGCAAGGAGAAATGTATAGCAATGAACAAGAAAGTGTGCAAGATTCTGAAAATGATTATGAAATAGGACGTATTCGCCATTTTCATCAAGGAAGTGGGAGATCAGATTCGTCAATGGCGGACAGTGGTTTTGGTGACATAGTAGTGCACAATGAGAGAGCACAATTGCATGACAGGAAAATGCGGACAAAACATAAGTTTCCTCATAAAAGAAATAATTATGATAATTATGCATTTGAGGACGAGGATTTTGAAGAACCCGAGGTGGATACGATTATAACACGAACTGGGAAGAAAACATTTAGATCTGTTGATAAGGAATCTTTGTCTGCACGAATGATGGAGGAAAGTTATATGTGATGAATTATGCCATATTTTTTGCCAGTGCCATAATATTTTCAATTGTTATATTCGTTGGTAATTTCTTCTTCATTTAATGAATGAAATTATTTTCATTTTTATATACTGTGAACACAAAATTTGTAAGTAATTTTGTTTATTGTAATTTGTACATTGAGCTTCCACAAATTTCAAGTCACTCTTAAAAATGTCAAGACCATTGAACAGGGCAAATCAGGGAATATAAAATATGAAGCGTTTTGCTTCAGATACACACTAGCTGCACTCATTTATATCAAACTACATATGTAAATTCCAATGGTCTATTTGCCAATTCTGTAATAAGAGATCCATTTGTATGAGTTGGAGAGGGACCTACATTTCCATTGCCAATGAAGAGCAAATTTACAGTTGCGTAATGTGTGTTATCTGAAAGTTTGTTTTCAAATCTTTCTATTTGACTTGTTAAGGTTAAAACTGTTGATATCAAGAGTTATTTTTCAATAAGAATATGTTAACACGCCTATGTATCACAAATTATCTTGCCTTACACTGGCAACAGACCAGTCTGTCCGGTTTAGGAACAATCTACAATTGGTTAAGGCAAACAACAGTTTTTTTTAATATTTAATAACAGAATCGTTTTGGTAAATGACAAAAAGACGATTCTCACAGGTACTTATTGACTGGTTTGACCTTCCCTTTTTATTATTCCTTTTCGTCACTTTTATTTCATGTTCATAGTTAACTTTCAATTACAATCAATGTTTCAGTAGAAGGTAGTGGGTGTTTACTTATGACCCTTTGGGATAAAACAAATCTCAAATGTTGATTATTAGCAGAACGTGAATGAAAAGAAATTAAACAAAATAAAAAGGAAGAAGGTAATTAATTTAGTCAACAAGTACCTATGATGTATCTTGGAGGTATTTTTACTTCAAATTTCAAAGATATCAGGTTTCGTAAATATATTTCCATTAAATATGCTTTACATTGCTTATTCATAAATTAATCTTTGATGAATATAATCAAAAATATATTTTGAATGATATACATACAGATATTGAAAATTAATATCTATAAAAATATCTTTTAATGAAGATTTCAAAAATCAATTAAACATTCATATTTTCAAAATAGATTGTAATGAAGAGCATTATTATAATTTATCATTTTAACAAATTACTAAGGAGACTTGATTTTTTATTAATAGTTTCATTATTTGTTCCTCAAAAGTTATGATTTTTTTCATAAGAACCTACGAAAGAAATAAAGGTTGAGAAAATAATCTAACTACGTTAGATTACTGATATTCATGATGTGAATATTTTTTTCTTTTTCCTGGTCCAGGGGCCTATCGAAAATGTTCGGTTACATCAGCACAACATTGGAGTATACATTGTAATGTTTGGATAAAAAAAATTACAGGTTTTGCGGTTGTGTTCTATTTCAACCCTCCAAAAATGGTTGATAATTTAGTTTCTCTGTTTTTATTTTATTTATTTTTTTTTTTGCCCTTCATCAATATTTCGCTCTGCTCCAATATGACTTTAATTGTATATTAAGAGAACAAGACAATAATCATTTAGATTTTATTTGGAAATAGTTAACTTACAGAGTAATCAGAATAACAAACAGTTAGTCGACCAGATAAAACAGTTACCATAGGAACTGAATCATTGGATGTGCATGGATGTATAATCCGTTTCAGGGTAACATTTTTATAATTTCCATATTTTCCATGATTGTATGCAATTCTGTGGGAACGAACTGAAGCGAAAAGAGCAAACACTTGATCATTTCACGATATCTTACAGGTAATTATTAATCTAGTCCTGGATAATGCTTATTTTAATATTTATGATTGTTATAACATTCCGGGTCGTTTTTGTCTTTGCAATAGTTTCCATATATATTTTATTTAACCATATAACTTATTAATTTGTTATGTGAAAATAAATATTTTGTATGTATATACAATTACTTATGCAATAAATAAAATGTAAAAACTTCTGTTCCTAGAAGTGACTCTGAAGAAAATTCAACTTGTAAATAATGTCCATAATTGCAAAAATTTCGTCCTGAACGATCAGATGCACTATATGACTACAAATAAACGAAACGAAACGAAAACGAAAACATGTCTATACGTCAATAAGACAGCAACCCTTTCAAAAAATAAAACCACAACCGACACTTAATGATCACATATTCTCTTTAACTATTGTTCATATTCTGACCTCAATAGTTTTAACTTTTCTGGTTTTATTGTACTTTACGTCAAGGGCTCTATTAAGCTCAAATCAATCTGAGATTATCCTATAGGAAAATTTTGAATACATTAACCAATGGCAACCAAAGATCTATCACCAACACCAAGTCATTAAAAGACGAAAACACTAAAATATTAAGACTTCGGACTTGATTTCTGACTAAGGGCAAAAATGTTAAATTCATTTTTACGTGTGAAATGAAGATACGGTGAGGAAAGCCAGATGAAAATCAGTTCAATAAAAAAATAATCTCACAATAATTATTAATAATATTGAATAAAAATGTTCTTATGTACTGAAAGCACATTCAAGTTACTAATAATTTGATATATCTTCCTACTCATAATATAAAACACTGCTACATGTTACCAATTATTATAATGGCCTATCCGCTTCTATCAATTTTTGAAAATCTCCATTACTTTTATATTAAATTTGAAATTCACGGAACAACCTTAGAAACAATACAGAGTCCTGTGCAATGCCCTAAATAAAATTTGTGTACATTAGACTAATTTTATTTTAGATATGTAGAATTCAACTCAGTACTATTAAATACTAGTAGTCCAAATTAAGTTTAGACAAATTTAAGAGCATGTGTCCAACTGGTGATGATAAGTAATCTTCTTAATTCTTCCAGTATAGGCACATCTCCTCTACGGTGTAAAAGCAAACGGTGAATACAAATAGAATAGTCATATAATTCATTGAGTATCCACCACCAATTTTAATATCACATATAGTACAGTTATCACAGTATCTCCTCTACCATAACATCAATAATATACTAGAATATATTTATAAGCAATGGGACTGTAAAATTCAAAAGAATTTCAGTCCGCACCCTCTCATGCACCTTTGTTAGTCTTGTATATTTTTTAAATTTTGGTTCATTTACATGTTTCGGAGTTTAGTGTGACGTCTATTTTTGCTGAACTAGTACACATTTTTGTTGAGGGGCCAGCTGAAGCCCGCCTCGGGTTGCGGGATTTTCTCGCTGTGTTGAAGACCCTTTGATGGCCTTGGGCTGTTTTTTTTTTTTTTTTTTTTTTTTGCTCTTTGGTCGGGTTGTTGTCTCTTTGACACATTCCCCGTTTCCATTCTCAATTTTATCTACCGAACTCATCACTGCATGGTTATTATTCCGACGCAGAATATGTTGAATCATCTCTTGCCGGTTGTATAGTATATCAACTTCATATGAAAATATAATACTTTCATATGAAGTTTCTATATTAAAGATATACACATGCATGTAGATCTTTCACACCTTTGTACCCTACTGATCGACTTGTTTTTGTACTCGTTTGAAACAGAGTTTACACAGAGCTTTCTCAGAGACAAAAAGAAAAAAAACTCTTGCACTGTTCCTTCGTTTCACTTTAAGATATATTGATGATGTTTTGTCACTCAATAACCAATATTTCAGTAAGTTCTTGTACCCCATATGTCCCAATGCTCATGAGATTAAGGATGCTACAGAAACTAAAAGGTCTGTTTCGTATCTCGATATTGAGACAGATAGACGACTTTAAACTAGAATGTACGAAAACGTGATGATATCATCTTTCCAATTGCCAACTTCTCATTTATCAGCAGAAGCATACGTCCTGTCTCATCGTTTGGTGTAGACATATATCAATTAACAATTTACGCTCATGCATGTTCACATTTTACGGACCTCATTAACAAGGGTGTGCTCCTTACATAAAAACTGCGCCGAGAGATATGAGGTAAAACGACTAAAATCGACCCGACATCAGTTTTATAGTTACCAGGAGGAAGTGGTTAACCAAGCTGTGTCCGTGTCTCTACTCGCTAGCGACCTGTTTTTGCAGACCCAGGTTGTGGATTCATATCGCGTGTGATACACGCAGAGGGAGACGCTTAACCGTGTAGACACACCGTGTCTCGCTCCTTCTGGAGTTCATGCGTACCAACTGGTTATTGATTTAGACTAAACTCTAAACTCGCGTCTGTCGTACCACATTATAGGCCTAGTATCTTTTCTGAGTTCTTATTGATTATATAATAATTATTAGTGAGCATTTGTTGGGATTGAAAGAGGCATGTGATCCTAAATACCAGATTGCAGAAATTGTCTGCCCATTTTATATTCTGACAAAGATTTGCATCATTCAACGACGGGAGTTTATATCGGTGTTATTTGTCAGAATTTGTATGGTGTGATGATATACAGACTTGTCCTCCACGAAACCAATATATGCACTCAAAGTACACCATCTTTAGGCCATGAAGTAAATGCTCTCAAATACACAATTTTAAGGCCATGAAGTCTCTCTACATCTTGATATCATTGACGGCGTACTCCCTGGTGCTTCTGCATTATAAATCTGGAATAAAAATACCATGCGCTATAACATGAAGTCTCTTTGTATATCTCTTGATATTATTGATGTTTCATTCAACGACTTCTTCTGCATTATATATCTGGAATAAATACACTATGCGCTATATCATGAAGCCTCTCTATATCTCTTGATATTATTGATTGTTCACACCACGACTGTTTCTGCATTATATTATATATCTGGAATAAAAACCGTGAGTATCATTAGGCAATTAAGTCTGTCTTAATTATCTAAGACGTCGAAAAAAAACCCGTCCACAATCATTTGAAACTTGAAAACTGCGTTACAAATGTGCAATATTCACGAACTTTGCATAAGCAAAAAAAAATTGTACAAATATTTACCGTCTAAAAGCTGATAGGTATTTACACTTTATATATGACCATATAACCGATGGACAAATATGTCAGTGATGTACAGGCTGTACATGAACAATTTTGGGATATGTTTTTTTCATTATTGACTAGATTGATAGGTTTTCGGGTATTTATTTAAGGCAATTTCAATTCTAGGAGGGATAGTCTGCACACTATCCTTATACATTAGTACTTTAATAAAAGGCAAACCTGATGGTATACTTCGTGTAGCTGTCATAAAGAAGGATGAACTTAATTATGAATAGGTCGCTCAATATTTGGTTTCTTTATTGTGTTTTATGAAGAAATCATAGCCTTAGGTGTTTTATCTGTTCTTCTTTGATTTATGGTTATTTATTGTCCATTTTGTTTCTTCTCAATTTATATCAGATTATGATGCAAAATACGAGAATCATGCTTCTTCATGAGGGACAGGGAAGGCAATGTTCCATTTTCTTCAAAGGCGAAGGAGGTAAAATTTCGCCAAAAACATGTTGAAAGCAACATTTAAGCCATTTGTATTGTACTTTTACATGCCACATAAAGTTTGATATAAATGTCTACGCAAAGGATTGACATCGAAGTCTGATTCTAAACACATTGAAGCAAATTCCAAATGCAACAAGATTGTACGCATCTACAAAACAATCATTATCATCATTTTCCTTCTTCCTTACTGAAATAAGAAGGCATGATTCTATTTGAACAACAAGACATCTCTGTATGATTACGTTTACTCTATCCTGTCTAATTGCTTCATTCATACTTCGGTTGTCTGGCATTTCATTTAAAAAATGGAAAAAGGTGCAAAGTGGGCCATCAAATATAAAAATAAGAAGATGAGGTATGATTGCCAATGAGACAACTCTCCAACAGAGACCAAATGACATAGTAGTTAACAACTACAGTTTACCGTACGGCCTTCAACAATGAACAAAACCCATACCGCATAGTAATATATAAAAGGCCCCGAAATGACAAATGTAAAACAATTCAAACGAGAAATAACGGCCTGATTTATGCATAAAACAATGAACGAAAAAACAAATATGATATACAGCAACAAACGACAACAACTGAATTACAAGCTCCTGACTTGGGACAGGCACATACAGAATGTGGCGGGGTTAAACATGTTAGCAGGCGCCCAACTCTCCGCCTAACTTGGGACAGTGATGTAACAGCACAACATATGATTAAACTATAGAAACCAGTTGAAAAGTGCTTAACTCATCAGATTGATACAAAGCAGAAAAACAAGTAACAAACCGGACGTGGCGGGGTATTTATACATCCCCAAAACAAATCAGATTTCATGTACAGATCTAGAGTACTCGCAGTTACTATCAACTAGTACAAAGCCAAAAACAACTAAAAGTTTATTAGTCAAAGAAAAACATAAAATTATCATGGCCAAAAGAAAAACAATGAAAAGACAAACAACAAGACACATAAAACTAAAAATTAAGCAACACATATCTAACTAAACATTTTGTTTCACTCGTCAGTGTTGATCTCAGCAGGTAAAATTTCGGTGAAAAGTGGCATGTGTGATATGATTCATTCCGACATTTTGAAAACTAAAACTAATATAGAAAATACTATTAAAACCTTTATGAATTTACACTGTTTTAGATGCATTTATTCTATCAAGAATTGCACAGATTTTGAATTTTTTAAGTGTTTTTCCTTTGCTTTGATTGTATTTGAATTAAGTTGATATTGAAAAATGTTAAGTTAGCTATTTTGTATATAATCAGCATGCATTTAAGTCTAACGTCTGTTTTTTTTTTTACTTCCCCTTTTTGGATTTACCTTGGAATATATTTGTTATACTTTTTTTTCTACCTTTACAGACAGGGATACACAGGTTAGTAGGAAAAAGATGACGGGCGCCAACTAGTTTTTACATCCACGATATAAGCTAGAAGTAATTTTGTTTTCTGCTGCTCTGTTAATTAGACAAGAAAATTGAAATAGTGAAAAACGAATGTCGGCTATTGGTGTAGAAA